TCAATTAAACTTTTCAGCCTGAAAACCACGTTATGCTGATTGTTTGTTGACTGTTCTCAAAGACTGCATGCTGATTAGTGCAGTTAATATATCTTTGTTACATGAAAAAGGAAACTGCCTTCTTATATGTGATCAAACAAAAATATGACTCTTCTGAGTTCTTGATGAAGTCTGTTTTGTATGTTTGTTTATGATGTCTATGAACAGTCTAAAAGCACTGCTCTCTAAACCCTGTCGTATTTTTCAGTAAAGACTTGATCTATATTTGAGCTGAATGTATTGTTTCTTAATTTATAGTGATATGATCATTTCACATTTTACTGCATTTCATTTTTGGTGATGTAGCATACCAGCGTATTACGGCACCACCTATGTCTGGCCAAGATTTGTTGGTGTCATTTTTGACAGCCTAATCGGTTTAGTTTTTTAAGAAATATGAATGTAAAATAAAATTTTACTTGTATACTAATAAAAGTATATGCACAGTAAAGCTTCTACCATATCTTTGTATGTCTGTTACCATTAAAGTTTATCTTTTTGTTTGTGTGAGTCAAAGAATACGGGGCTGAAGAGATATCGTACCGAGTTTCTTAACACGTTTCTGTTCTACTTGCGTGACATATTATGCAAACCAACAATACACATTAGTAAAAAATACCAATTTTAGGAACACCAGGAAGCTGACTAGTAGACAAAAGAAGCCAATATTTAGTTTGTGTAAGGGGTAAGTTTAGGGGAAATGCGCTGATTCCTGTTTACTTTTGTTTTTTTCTCAACTTTTTTGAAGTGACACCATAGTCACAAAGTGATAATTCATTCAAGAGGAACTTCACCCACCAATTTAATATCTCCCAAGACAATTACTTTTAAGGCATGCCAACTATAAAGGTTGCCAGTGTGCTTACTTAAGCTCTCAACCGAACTTTCAAACCCAAGACCCAATGGCTGGTGTCATAGCTGATCACATGTGCAGTACCAAGGCAACTCCAAATATAGGCTAAGATGGCACCTTCCTTGGCTGTAAAGGATAGGAGGTTGTAGTTCCACTTTGTTATTTTCACCCCAGCACGTTGTGATGCAGTGTAATGCGTAGCAACACACTTCGGTGAAAAAATAATGCATGTAGTACTTTTTTTCAGCATATACCTACACACTGTGTTGGTGTGAACTGACTTCATGGTAAACAATTTGCCTTGCCTATGTGTTAGGACTGATCTGGGCCTAACATATCTGGTATAAACAGGCACTTAATGAAATGATTTGCACATGCTTCTTTTACTGAATGTTTTTTCCACCATTCACTCTGGACATAGTGTGTGCTATCTACCAACAATCCAGAAGAACACAGGGTCTTCCAGTGATGCTGTCTCGATGGACATGTGTCTTTATTCAACGTATGTATCTTCCTGCCATGTGGGGGATGAGACACACCCAGGTGGACAAACCTCTCTCTGTGGAGATGGGAGTACTGACTGATGAGAAGCAGGTAGCAAAGCAATGTCTCTGAGAGGCCGTGTGGTCCCATCATATCTTGCCACAGCAAGGACTCCTCTACCTTTCCAAAGGTGATGGTCCAACAACACCAGTTCAAGGGGGAGACTGGAAATGGGATAGGAGTACATCCAAAGTAGACAAGGGAAAAACGTGATATTCCTCTCACTGCTGCAGATTTCCTGCGTTAAGGAAGGGGTACACTTAAGCCACAGGTGCCATTGCTAATGCCAGTGTCAAGAACAGGTCTGAAGAGACGTTGTTCCTCAAAGAGTAAGCAAAACAGATGGTCCATTAATATCCCACACACATCACCAGAGTGCCATATGCATTCACGCAGATACCATTTTCATGCGAGACACAATTTTAAGGCTTGTAACAAGCTGTCGCAACTAACTTCAAACATTTCTACAGCCACTCTATAAAACGGGGGCTCACCCCTGCAGTGAAGGCATCCTTTCTAAGAAATGCTACCCATTTTGACATGGTTTGACAGATCAGTGTTACTGCCAACATAGGACAGGGTTTGAAACAACCTCACAGGAGAATGCAGTGACCAAAAAACTGCATCTCTTATTAAAAAAAAAACAAAAACTATTGGGGATTCTAAATCAGAAAAGGTAACAGGCATGGTTTTAATTATGGGCTCAGGAGGGCCAGAGATGGATTCTGCCAGAGATGGTGCTGAAGCCCACTTAAAGCCTGTGCGGGCACACACGGACAGAATGTCCAGAGTGGATAAGGAGCTCCCTCTGGACATGGGGGAGACTTAGAGGACAACCAAATAACAATAGGGGTCCTAGGTTCCAGATTACAGGTATCGGTTCCTTCTAGGGATACTGGATAAACACCCCTAGAACGCTGGTTTCCCTTGGCAGCTGGAATGTCTTTTGGGAAGACAGGTTGCGCCACGTAGCATTAAGCAGTTAGGCCTCCGTTTCAGGACCTCGCCATGCAGATTCATAGCTCCCAGTTCCCACTTATCATCCAACCCACTTAATCTGTACCTAGGTTGTCAATTTCAATCCATATCCCCATCACACACAACAATTGAGTTCCTGGCATGTGTGCTCTAATGACAGACATCCATATGGCATCAGCACACTATTGTCTTATGCAGGAATTTTTCTTTTCATTGCATCAGAAAAATCACAACATAAAGTGTACACTCCATGAAGGCATGAAAATCCTTTTCAAGAGTGACCAGCCCTGAACAAACTTCTGTCCTAAACATTTTGTAGCAGCAGGGTTGGATCATGTTTAAAAATTCACATTAATGCGAATAGTAATATGTAATGTTGTATACCACCAAATGTAAAATATCCTTAGAATTTAGAGACACACACACAAGATGTTTTCCAGCAATTAGTTTAATATAAAATAATGAAAAACAGGTGCATTTGAATGCTAGAGTCTAGACTTTGAGATATGCTAGAGCACTGTTTCTCAACCTAGGCTACCTCCTGAGGTTGTGATGGTTTCCTTTAGCAGTGAGCAATAGTGAATTGACCAACAATGTAAAATTTCCACTTACCATCACTGCAAGGTGACCACTAATGATGATGGACACCACAATTTTACTATCTGCCTTTCTTTTCGGCAGTTTCTATTCATTGCAATAATATTACTGACAATAATTTGGTAGCGGATGGTAACAAATTACCGGCCTTGGGTGTCAAATATGCTATATTCCTTTTTTTATAAAACCTTCAACTTATTAATTCTGCTAATGTACCACAAGCTGTAGGTATAATCCTTTTTAGCAGGGTATCCCCGAGAACATGAACATTTGTCCAAGGGCTCCTCAGGGGTAACAAGGTTGAGAAAGGCTGTGCTAGACAATAGGTAAGCAAAGCTGCAATACTAACTTGATGTTAGTTTATAGTATTAAGAGGTAGGAATGATGTTATCAAAGTATAGAGAGGAGTAAAAACAAAACCCAGCAGCTGTCCCACCATTTTATTCCATTATCCTTCATTGTTTTTATTACATATGTTTCTACTTGTAAATTGGAAACCCACAAAGTTATCTTCTAGTAACGGATAGATTTGATCTACAAGTTTGTAGTTGGTGTTAGAGAAGCAGACATACAGTGGAATGTTTACATTCAGAAATCTCCCTCTCTCCCATGTCAATACTGAATACTGGAAACACGCAGTCTTTATAGTCATGTATAGCTAAAAAACACTGACAAACATTTCATATGTACTGTGGGGCCTAAGCCCTTGATGGTTAAAGTAGAACTCTAGCTATGTTTAACCTCCAGCATGTCCTCTATATGTATTTTAAGGATTTAACAAGCTTTTTTTTCAGATTTCTTCTGCTATCATTCTAAATATTACACACTTTACTATGTAATATAAATTACTTATCTTTTTCACACTTAAAAGGTTTAGGCAATCAGTGTAAACCTGCCATGTCTGTATCCCTGACAAATGACGGGTCACCCTAACTAAGCAGGGAGATCATTTTCTATAGAGAAACCAAGCATTTTTTATTTATTTAAATCTAATACAACAGCACACTTTTTTTTTAAAACTGCGATTCAGCTGGCAGAAAGTTTCTTTTAAAATGGCACAAAAAGACTTTAGAAAGGGCAAATACATTTGTAAAAACGGAAAAAAAACCCCCAAAGAAACGTAATCAATCGGTTTTAAGTGTTTTTTGGTCTGACATTAGTACACATACACTTTAACAAAAAGGGGGAAATACAAAAGTAATTGACATGATCACATAATATCTACATACCCTGAAATAAAGCACCACTGTGTGTACAACATACCCAGGCTGTCCATTGCCTTATGGCAAATCTAGACAGAAGCTATTTTCATCCTCTTTTCTAAATGATCAAAATGTTAAGATGTTGACAGGCCAAGAGCAACTGGGAAAAAATATGTCTAATGTCAGAAGCTGCCCTAGAAGGCAGCCAAATGTCTGTCCTTCATTTTCTTTGTACAACTGGTCAAAGACAAACCCTTATGCCATGAACATGTAAAATGAATTTTTAATCTAACACAGACTATAAAAAGGTAAGCGACTTTTATATTAGTCCTCTTTTTATCCTAGTGGAAGATGCCAAAACTGAAGTCAGCGTCTTTACAAATTCTCCTCCAAAGAAAAATAATTCCTCAGGCAATGCAAACCTCCATAAATACTTGAGAAAAATGTATAGATTTGGTGAAGGGCGTATTGTTTACAAAGTGTCCTGCTAACCCAAGCTATGATTATATGGTTTCATTTTATTCCTTAAACCTCTTTCTAGTCATGCAAAAAGTCACATGTTTGTAAAATGTATAAACAATGTTCCAGTCCATTTTCAGGTCAAACGCCTCTCAGGAGTTGTGTACTCGAGTATTTTTGGAGCTGGATTTTACCATGTTTTTTTTTTTGAGATGTTAATGATTCAAGTGTTCTACAGCGAATGTAATATGGAAAAAGTAAGTGCATTAGTACTATGTTTGTGGCACGCATTGGCGGGGCTGCTGCTGCTGTTGTGTAATTCAAGTTTGGGAATGCAGGTTACAAACTACCAGCCTTAACCCTTTAGGAATGGCAGTTCATATGGCTTGGCAACGGCGTGCTCCAGAGCCAAGGCATAGGTGTAGACTCTTGCATCAACCACCAGCTTCTCCTTTGCCACCAGCTCTGTTAAAACACATTTAAGTATAGTGTTAGTTACCATAATAATAAAGGCAAAGGTTAAGCATTCACAAAAATGGAAAAACATTTTGACTACATTATGTAGTCAGGTACAGTATAACCACATCAAACCTTTTTTCCATTTACATCCATTTCACACTCCTTTAGTCTATCCCCTTGAGGTGATTTCAAAAGAGAGTCAATCATTACTGAGCTTTTACAAGAATAATACAATTGTGTAGGCTTAAAGTGATACTAAGCTCATGAGTTGAATCGTAAAAATACATTCAACGACCCTAACTATTAAGAACAATGCATCTTATTTGTGTATAACTCGACTGTAGATCCTCAAATCATCTCTGAATTGGTGCGGACACTGTCCTTCCTTCTGGGAGGGTGTCTACTTTTGTTCCCCATGGTTCCTCTGTATGTTGTAAAGTAGTCACCACTCCAAGTTCACTCCTGTGATGGACGATAATCTCATGTTTAGTTTACTAATTTGTATTGAGATTATAGTCCATCACAGGATGTGCTTACGTAGTAGACACTACTCCCTAGTTCACCCTCACTGCGCAAAGTAAACAAACTAGAACTTGCATTATTTAAACCCAAACCAAAGCTATTAAAGGAGAAGTATTGGGAGAATAATATATACTCTTTGCAATACTTAGAGTGTGCAGTTGTCACATGCCGTCTCTACAGATCAAGAGCTGTGACTTCTGATCACTCAGTTCACTGTCAGTCACTGCACTCTCCACAAGGATTCCCCCCCTCCCCTCACTGGAGGACCAGACAGGGGAGGTGACAGGCACAGCTGGCTCTGGACTACCAACAGAGATGGCCAACAGATAGGTGTGGAAAAGGGCAGGTCAGACTTTGACCTTACATGTTCTTGGCAAAAGCTTCATACCAGATTGCCCAGGGTTTCAGGGCTCCCAGAATATAAATGACTGTCAGACACCAGTAGATGATTACTATAAAATCCAAACACTGACATCACTTTGTGAAAATCACAGACAAGGTACAATGACATTATATTAAGTAGAAAAAAAAATACCATCAATGCGTTTGCGCAGCTCAATTTTTGGTAACAAGATAGTTTCTGTAAATTCTGTAAATAAAAACAAAAACGTAACAATAATTTGGTATGGAGGTTATGACATAATTCCGTATGGTGTGAACAGATTTCAAAGAAACAAAATCACATACCTCCATCCGCTAATGGGATCAGGATGATAGAATAAAATAAAAAAAAAAAAGGAAAAAAAAGGAGGAGAAAATATTAATCTGTGCAACTGCAAACAGATCAAACAATAGATTAATAAAACACACAAAAAACAAAAAAATAAACTTTTATTTTAGTTTTCCTGGACAGACTTGTATACTCATTTACTGGCTGGCAGTCTCCTATTAACATTGTAAAATCTCAGCCAACCACAATATATTCAAATTATCTTTTATCTATTTTGATTGGATCAACTAATCTCCAGAGTCTCGCACTGCTCTGTTTTATCCATGGACTGCAAATGTAACATCTAAAGAGATTCAGGAGTTCTTTCTTTCATAGTGCAGAAAGTACTGTCAGTCTGGTCTCCCCTCCCTTTACCCCTCAGGCATGTCTATATACTACTAGGAATTTTACAACAGAACTGGCCTATAACAGGGGAGATATGTATTTTAGGGGCTGCGAGAGCAGACATTGGTCTTATTAGGCATCAGCAGAAACAATTGCATTTCATCACACAGAGACATTCTTTCAATTTCATTTCACATCCACAATGGAGGATCACACATTCAGTATCGAAGAAACAGGTAATGTATCGAACGCATATGCATCGGCTTGGCTGAGCCGTGCTGAAAGCCGAAGCCGACCTGCTTCTGACAGCTGGGCGGAGCCAGCCGTGATCTTACGGCTGGCTCCGGCCACTTGCAGTGAGATCAGCATCCCTGGTTACCTGCTAACCAGGGACACTGATCTCCAAACAGCAAACTCTCCCTGGCGCCCCAGGAGCCTCCCGCTCCCGGCCGCCGAGGAGAGAAACAGTGCTGTGTCCTTTTTTTCTTTATTCTGACACGAGCGATGTCAGAATAGAAAGAAAAAAAAAAGTTTTTTTCCCATTGAAAAGCATTGGCTATTTCAATTTGCAATAGCCAATAGTAATGTCCCAATGCTTTTCAATGGGAAAAAAACTTTTTTTTTTCTTTCTATTCTGACATCGCTCGTGTCAGAATAAAGAAAAAAAAGACACATCAGTGCTTCTCTCCTGGGCGGCCGGGAGCGGGAGACCCCAAGAGCGCCCGGGAGAGTTTTTTAATCTTTCTTTCTTTTTTTTGACAGCAGCAGAGCCGCCGGACAATAGGAAACTATTGGGCGGAGCTAGCTGTCACTGCTAGCTCCGCACAATTGTTTGCTATTTACTTTTTTCACTGTTTTTCTGTTCAGCGGCATTTGGCTATTCCCTCACTGCTGTTTGGGATCTTTAAGAATAGCCCGAACAGCAGTGAGAAGCCTGCCGGAGGTTCCGCTCAGCCGATCCCGATGTTGGATCGGCTGAGTCTAACG